AGTAACGTCAAATGGAATGCGTATATTAGTTATAATTAATTCACACAGTTCAGGTTTCCTTTGATGTGTTACATAAAAGAATTAATAACAAACAATATATAAAAAGAAATCAACAACATGGAGACGGAAAGAAATATTTAATATATCTTTTTTCTTATACAAACATGAAACAGAAGGTCTTTACATTCTACGATTGCTCCGTTTGCTTCGATCATAATTTTGACGGCTTCCCTAAGCGCTTGCCTCTGCAAAAGGTGGGCGATAAGTGAGAGAGACATGATATCTAGACGTAGAAACACTCTTTCAGAGCTAAAACCAGCAGAGTATGAGTTATCGTTCAAGAAGAATCTGTTCGGACATATATTCTCCACAGTTCTCACAAAAACTTTGAGGTTTCATCTTTGGGTTGCTTTCGTCGTACCACTAAACATAGCGGATGATTGTGGAACAGTCGCTTGTCTGCGTGCTGGAGGTAATCCGGCATTGGACTTGGAGTGAGTGTACAATTCTACAGAACACTAGCTCGCTACAGATATACTGCTTACTGACAAGGTTACGGACAAGCGGAAATGTGTACAATACTAGAACTGTACGTTAGCAGAGGCAGAGTGTATAGCGACCAGATTTAATACGGGTGGAAATGTACAGACATACTGTTGAATATTACAATTCTGTACTGCGGCATATTGTTTAATTACGAGGTTAGACAAAAGCGGAATTGTACAGAATTCGATAAAATAATATATAAAATAATAAATAATAGAGATACACTATTTACTGACGAGATTAGACACAAGCCGAAATGTGTACAATTCTGTAGAATTGTACCTTAGTAGAGACACAGTCTTTACCGATCAAGTTTGGTACAAGCAGAAATGTATAGAATTCTATAGAGTTTTAGGTCACTACAGATATACTGATTCTTGACAAGATTATATACAAGTGGAAATGTGTAAAATTCTACAGAATTCTGGCTCACTGCACATGCACTGCTTATTGACGAGATTAGGGAGAAGCCCAAAAGTGTACAACTCTATAGAATTATACATTACCAGAGACACAGTGTTTATCGACTGTGTGTGGAATTACAGTCTTTATCGAAATGTATAGAATTCTCTACAATTCTAGCTTACTACAGATACATCGTGTATTCACCAGCCTGGAGACAAGCGAAAATGTGTAGAATTCAACAGAATACTAGCTCACTACGCATATACTGTATAATGGAAGAGGTTAGAGAGAAGAAGAAATGTGTACAATTGTATACAAATGTCCGTTGGTAGAGATACGGTCTTTGTCGGCCAACTTTGATACAAGCGGAAATGTGCAGACTTCCATAGAATTCTATTAGTACAGATATACTGTTTATTCGCGAGGTTAGAGAGAAACGGGTATGTGTTGAATTCTATAGAATTCTAGCATAAGACACATGGCTTATTGACCAGATTAGATACAAGCGGAAATGTATTGAAATCTATGGAATGCTAGCTGACTAAAGATACACTGTTTTTACTGACGAGGTTACAGGCAAACGGAATAGAACAGAATTCAACGTTATTACATAGATAATCCTTATCAATCAAATTTGATACTACTGAAAATGTGCAGACTTCTAAAGAATTGTACGTTAGTACACATATAGCCATTATTCGCGAGGTTTGATACAAGCAAAAATGAATAGAATTCTGAAGCATTCTAGCTCACTCCCGATACTCACTGGGTTAGCGAGAAGCGGGAATCGGTACAATGCTACACAATTCTGCATTAGTATAGGTATACTGTTTATTGGCGAGGTTACGGAGAATCGGAAAGCTGTACAATTCCACAGAATTCTCGCTCGCTACGAATATACTGTGTATTTATGAGGTTAGAGACGAGCGGAAATGTACAGAATTCTATAGCATTCTAGTGGTACGTGGTCTGACGACATGAAGCAATGGGAGAAATGCCAATCAAAAGCGGTCAAACTTAAGGGACGCCACCTATTAAAAATACATGGTTTGGCCAGAGGATAAAAATATCAGCTAAGATTCTCTTAAATACTTCTTGTTCAAATGGCACGCAATTCATTCTTTAAAGAAGAGGATCACTTTTTTGATTTCCAAGTGCATTACTGCATACGGCAATCCGCTTTTGATTCGATGAGTCATCGCATCATGGCCATATACCATAGGTTCGCAGAGACACAGTGTTTATTGACGAGGTTTCAGACAAGCGGAAATATAAAGAATTCGATAGAATTGGTCGTTAGTACAACTGTAGTCTTTAGGCGAAAATGTATAGAATTCTATAGAAATTCAGCTAAAGATATACCGCTTATTAATGAGTTGCAGACAATCGGAAACGTGTACAATTCTACAAAATTCTCGCTCACTTCAGATATATTGTGTATTGACGAGGTGGGAGACTAGCCGAAATGTGCAAAATTGTATAGAATTCTACCTTAGTACAGCTATAGTCTTTATTGACCAGGTTTAATACAAGGGGAAATGTACAGAATTCTATAGAATTTTAGATTAGTACGGGTATACGGTTTATTGACGAGGCTAGAGAGAACCGGAAATGCAGTGAATTTCATAGAATTCTAGCATACTACATATATACTATTTATCGACCACGATTAGATACAAACGGATATGTATAGAAATCTGTAGAATTCTAGCTCGCTACAGATATACTGCTTGTTGACGACGTGAGGGAGAAGTGGAAATGTGTGCAATTCTACCGTTTTCTGGCTCACTAGAGATATAGTGTTTATGAACGAGGTTAAAGACAAGCAGAAACATACAGATTTGTATAGACTTCTACGTTAGTACAGCTATAGTCTTTATTAACCAAGTTTAATACAAGCGGAAATGTATAAAATTGTACAGAATTCTAGGTTAGTACGAATATAGTCTTTATTGACCAAGTTATACGCAAGCGGAAATGCATAGAATTCTGGAATGTTGTACGTTAACGTACAACACTACTAATTAGTAGAGATATAGTGTTTATCGACCAAGTGGAGATGTATATAATTGTGGAGAATTCTACATTAATACAGATATATGTTTATTGGAGAGAGTAGAGACACACGGAAATGTATAAAATACTATAGAATTCTAGCTCATGATAGACATCCTTCGTTTGGCGCGGTTAGAGACAAGCAGAAACGTATAGAATCCCATAGAATTGTACCTCACTACAGTTATAATGTTTATTCGCGAGGTTAGTTACAAGCTGATGTGTAAAGAATTCCATAGAATTCTTGCTTAGTGTAGATATACTTTGTATTGACGAAGTCAAAGTCTAGTTGAAATAGCTAGAACTGGGCTTTTGCTCATAGTGTATTTGCTGAAAACCAGCGGTGTAAGGGTACAACGATCGGCGTGTTTGGTGGGACCTGGTCGTGAGCCTGGCCGCTTGAGGACGGTAAGCGTGGATTTGGGTTTTTGATATACGTATATATACCACGGATGTTGAAAATTTCGTATTTCAGGAGGGAAAGAAGTTTTAAATTTTTGAATGACATATTTGATCAAGTAAATTGTTTTTCGTGAAAAGTGAGAGTCTGAGTTGAATGATTGATCCTCACTGCATTATGTTCCCGAAGAGAAAACCAGGTAATACATGATAAAATCAGTGTTTCAGCTACCTTAGGATACATTTTCTTTTTAAGTGATTCTTTTATATCAAAAGTTGTTGTTTTTCACTTTTTTTTGTGACATACACGGACTGAGTTAACCTGCGAAAGAGATGTGTCTCAGAAGAAAACTTGTCCAGAAATCCGATTGTGTAGTATTGTGACTAGCGAAAATGAGACCTATAAGGGACGCACTATGTTCTGGAAGAAAAGTCCGAGTAAAACATAATGCAATCGTAGATAATAAAACGGTGACTGGGTAAATGTGGAACTAGTGCATACCGGTGCAACATATCATGCCGCCCGCACTGGTAGTGCCGCCCTTTTTTCAGTACTATACTGGGATCATCACACACACGCAACATTGCAGACCGTCAAGCGACCCACACTATAGCGATTACTGTTTGTATGCTTAATGCCGAATATCAAATATCACACTTAAACCAATGGATATCTATGGCTCTCTTGACTCCCATTTCGAACGGTACGGTATGAGCTATCTTATGACACATTTAACGATCAGTAAATACAATCATGATAATCGAACGATACGGTATTTACTCATCGATTACTACATTCAGTGGCACAACATGTGTTTTTCGTTTTCTTTTATAAATAATAAAATATCATAATAGTTCAAATAGATGTGGTACAATTATCTTTAATATTTTGTTGTTAAACCACCGATTGCAGCTATTATTGTTGTTATTATATATAAAACAATAGATTGCTGAACATATTTATATGTACATTGTTTTGGTTGACACTGTTCGTAATATTTATCATAGAATATAGACAGATTCCATTTTTCAACCATTAAATGGTTAACAATATCACCAATTTTTGTTGTTGGCTGATATTGACTTGGTAATGATGAATCAAGTATTGTTATATTATTTACTGGTTGAGTTAAATCCGTATAATATTGTATTTGTTCAAAACATGTTTTATTATGAAAACATTCTAATGTTGATTGTAATAATGATTCAACAATAAAACATCCAATATACCAACCGGGTATTCAATCTTCAACTACTTGATTTTGTTCTGAATGTTTTTTATAGTTCAATTGTCAGATGTATGTAGCGTGTTTCTGTTCTATAAGTTCCTTTTTTATTACATATTGCGTATTCTATTTTCATAATGTATTAATTAATTTACAGAAATTTTTCATGATACCTTATTGTATTTTGTCTTAATATGCCCACAAAGGACAGTAATAAAGCATATATATATATATATATATACACTGTTAAAAATCTGTGTTCTTCAAAAAACAAAAAAAATGATCTTCATTTGTCCCCTATGGAGATCATATATGTGTTCTCCAAAGATTTGTACAACAAGAATCTTCAGTTTTCTGAAGAACAAAATCTTTGTTCTTTAAGTTTTTTGATCCCTATAGGGGACAACTTGTTCTTCAGAGAACAGGTTT